GGGAGGGAGAGATGATGAAAATGTGGCTAGCCTGAGTTCCATAGAGAAGGGAAAGTAGGCATTCTTGTTTGTTCCCCCTCTGAGCTGAGAGCAGTATCTTCTTCATCATCTGAATTGTCTCCCCTTACCCACTAGTAACCAGCAGCAAAGCCTGCCCTTTCCTACAGCTTGACAACTCACAGGACAAGAATATGTTAAAGAACATCAGCCTCCTTGATGCTAGATTTTTTAAATTTGTTTTATTAAGTTTTAAAACATAATTACATAAAGTTTGTTGTTCAATAACAACACATTCATAACTTAATAACAAAGAGAGAAAAAACAAAACAAACAAGAGAAAAGACATATTACAAATAACAAATATACAATCTCACTATATCAAATTATCCATTTGTTACATCCTTGTTCCATCCGTTAACTGATTTCTATTTCTGTTTTATTTTTCCCTGTATAAGTTATCATTATCCTTCTGATTACTTCTCTATTGCTTTAGTTTTAATGTTTATGATTTCCTTCCTAAATCTTTCCCTCCCTGAAAGAAGAGTTTGAATCTTTACCTTTATATTCCTCCCATATTTTTATACATATTGTATTTCCCCAAATCTTTTTTATATCTTTTTTATATGTATATACTTTTTCCAATCTTCTGTTATATTTTCTCTTAAATTTGTTGATTTCTTTTGACAGGAGGTCCATCTCCATCATGTCTAAAAGTTTAATTAGCCATTCGTCTATTTATATTTTCTTCTTTGATTTCCAGTATCTTGCATAAGTTTGCTTAGCAGCAGTCAACATATAAAAGATAATTCTCCCATATCTTTTTTCATTATTATCATCCAATATACATAATAGCATTGTTTCTGGTCTATATTCTAAATTTATTTCATTCATATTTACATAGATTTCTTTCTAAAATCTTTTTGCTTCTATGCAGGTCCACCATAAATGAAAAAGGTACCCCTTTAATAATAATAATAATAATAATAATAATAATAATAATAATAATAATAATAATAATTTATTTTTAACCCGCCCCTCTGCAAGGCAATCGAGGCAGCATACAAAGTTAAAACAAGACAGCAGTTAAAACAATTCCATCCCCCCAATCCCTAACCCACCCACCCACCCCATACAAGTCAAATTAAACTAGTAGAATAATTTCCTTTCACATTTCCAGCACTGATCTTTTCCTGTACTGTATATTCTACTTATTCCATCTGGGGAGAGATGCCATCTATATAGAATTTTATAGTAGTTCTCCCAAACATCCTGACTTGCTGAGTATCTTAGCCTCATATTCCAGCATCTCTCCCATTGATTTAGCTCTATAGTTTGTCCACAATTTTTACCCACAATGTGCTTGATGCTAGATTTTGACCATGATACTCCTATTTGTTAATTCTAGATAGATAGTCTTGTGGATGTGATGCCACCAAGAGTCTGCTATTATTATTATGGTTGCTGTTTTTGTTTATTTATATAGCACCATCAATTTACATGGAACTTTACAGGCACAACAACTGAAAACCGTGGGTCTTGCCAAAGGCATACATTCTAAAGTGTGTGCATACACATACATGTAAAGGAAAGAAAGGAATAATAAAATAAAATGATACAATACAGTTAACAGAGCAAATTATCTAGACAGAACATAAAAATACAATATGACATAAAACAAACTAACCAGTATATACAATCAAATATACAGGATATAAAACAACATTAAACTAAAGTTCCAAAACAAGGAAGTTTTTAATTCAGATTTAAAAATAGCAAGGAAGGAGCAGTCTGCTCACAGAATCATAGAATTGGAAGAGACCTCAAGGGCCATCCAGTCCAACTTCCTGCCACGCAGGAACTCATAATCAAAGTATCCTCAACAGATGGCCATCCTCTGTTTAAAAACCTCCAAAGGAGGAGATTCCACCACTCTCCAAGGCAGCATATTCTGCTGTAGAACAGCCTGTCAGGATGTTCTTCCTAATGTTGAGGTGGAATCTCTTTTACTGTAGTTTGAATCCTTGTCTTAGTCTCTGGAGCCATGGAAAACAGCCTCTTCCTTCTTCAATATGACATCCCCTCAAATATTTAAACATGACTATCATGTCCCCTCTTAATCTTCTTTTCATCAGGCTAAACATCCCCCGCTCCCTAAGCCTCTCCTCATAGGGCATGGCTTCCAGACCTTTCACCAGTCTGGTTACCCTCCTCTGGACACGTTCCAGCTTGTCAACATTTTGGGGGCCAAACATACAGATCTATGCTGTTATGATAGGGTGCCAGTGGCTAAGGAGGCGGGTTTACCTATTCTCCCTGTTTTGCTGTTCCTTGCATGGTCAGTAAAGAGACTTGCTGCCAGCTTCCTAAAGATAGTTGCTGCCAAGATAGCTGCACAAGGCCAATGAGTTTTTTGTTCTATATACATGCAGCAAGAGCAGACAGGCAGTAGGAGAGGGCAAGCTGGCAGGGTTTAAAGTTCCTTAGAGGGGGAGGAGATCTTTCTAAACTGGGAAGAAGTTGAAGAGTCAGCTGACTAAGGAAACCAGCACTGCTTCCTGCAAACAACAGAACTGACTCTGGGCCTGAACAGACTGCTAGAAATAATCTAGCGTGAGACCACTTTAACTGTCCTGGCCCAATGCTAGGGAATCAAGGGAATTGTAGCTTTTTCTGAGACATTAAGTCTTCTCTGTCAGAGAGCTCTGGTGCCACAAGTTCCCATGATTCCCTAGTATTGAGCCAGGACAGTTAAAGCGGTCAAACTGGATTATTTCTGGCAGTCTATTCAGGCCCTTTGAGATCAAGGGCTTAATTTTGAGGAGGGATGCCTGCAAGTGACCCAACCAACAACAGTTCAAGAAACAGAACAATCCCCCACCCAGTGTCCCATTGGTCTGGCATGGCTAGGTGTGAATGGAAGGTGGAGGAAAGATTGTTCCTGCATTTTTCTTTGTAAAAAGGAGCTTCACTAAGGTGGAGGAAAGATTGTTCCTGCATTTTTTTTTTTGTAAAAAGGAGCTTCACTACCAGAGGCTTTAAAAAACAATTTTACAATGCCTGTACTGTAAAACTGATGAAATTTAATATATGATGGTGACAGTCCTGTAGAAAAGTTGTAGTCTGCAAAGAGTCTGTCAAAGAAATATGCACATGGCCTATTTTCTGACTTTTGGGTTGGTATGACATAACATTATGGAAATAAGCATATGAAATATCACATGTAGGCAAAAACCAACAACAACCCTACTACACTTACCTCTGGAGTTGTCTGTGAGGCCTTTCCATCTTTTCCAGGAGATGGCAACTGTTCTGGCCCTCTGGCAAAATATTTGTTTTGATCACCTAGAAGAAATGTTAATTTACTGTATGATGTGTTTCCTGATTAATCTGTAAGTGGAATGCTTAATGGAATGGAATACAGCCAAAAAATGACAACCCAAACAGGAAGTAGTCAGAAATCCACTGGAGAAAATAAGATGGAGCAAAGCCAGCTGGGAAGGGGAAATTTGCAACATCCAACAATAGGAAGACACTTCACCTTTAATCTAGATGAAAAAGTGACAAAATTATGGAAACAAACATTTTATGGAAACCGTCAAAATTGTAGTACTTATGAAAGAGAGGTGACAGCCTCAGAGAAAGTTCTGCAGATGCATGTGACAATTAATTTTTCTACTGATATAAATCTGTTGGACTGCATGAAGATCTGTAAAATACTAACTAACGTACCTTCCATCTTGTCTTCAGATGTTTCTGTTGTCACCTTATGAGGTTCAGGTTTGTTTGCCACCAATGCTGGTGGAACATAAGCTCCATCATCCTGAGTCACGGCAGAGCACCCCAGATGATGTGGTGGAGCTATTTCCCGAAGCCTTTTCACTGAAATGGAGACCTTCTTCTTAGTACAAGCAGCAGGCTTGCTGTCAGCAGACGCTGCTGTCTGTGTGTCAAGGAGTTTCTTCTTCATGTGGATGTAGATGGAGTGGATAAGGACTTCACCAGCAGTGAGGTTAATCAAAGAATCTCAGCTCCAGCCAGCAATCTCTTCCACTTTTGTTAGCAGCTCATAGCAAATGTTTCAGTTCTTGTTTCTTTAAAACAAAGCACAAAGCTAGTTGGTGCACTGCTGATTACAGTAGTTGATGTATAGTTAACAGAGGAAGCAAAGGGAACACAGAGGAATGTGAGGGACTTAAATCCCACAGTACAGACCTGAGAAAATTTTGCTTATTTCCTTTAGTGAAGTCTATTTTACAGAATATTGCACAGAAAAGATCTAGCTAAGCTGCCTGGAGAGGCCACAAGATTCTCTTGAGCCGCTTTGTTTTCAAATATCTTGCCAAATTTCAAAACACTTTAGTTCTTCAACTTATTCAGAATCAATATAGAGAAAAATGCTTTAAAATTGATCTATATAAGCTTTGTCCCCATATGATTCTACTCATCATACAAAACTGAGATTGTAAAAGATTTAGGGGGGAAATATATCTCACAAAGCTACACATCCCAAAATAAAAAATAAAATAAAAGGTTTAGAACAAGTTCATAGGATTTTGTGGAGGGTTGTCACTGTCTACCAGTTCCTTGAGGATACCAAGATTCCCCAAACAATTTTCCATGGGAATGGCATAGTACTGTTCTCTCAACAAGAAAAAAAAAAAGAACACAAAGGAACCTTGATATCATGATATAATACAAGAGGTCTTTTGTGTCAGACAACTAAGGCCTGTCAACACAATGTCCAGTTCCCATACAGAGACAATGCTGTATATTCCCTGTATTTGGTATTCATAGGTAAATTGTCTTTGTTCATGGATGTTCCAATGCCTTTTTAAATCTACATCTAAATGCTCTTGAAACCCACATAAACTGGTAATCATGTCAGCTGGCAAGCAAACACCAAAAACACAGATAGCTCAGCCAATACAGTAGATTAATTCTGGTCGGCAGCCTACATTCAACTGTGCAAAAATAAGGCCTACTAAGATCGCTGGATAAGAGCCAGCATGACATAGTGGTTTGAGTGTTGGATTATGATTCCAGAGACCAGGGTTTGAATCCCCATTTGGACATGTGAACCCAATGGGTGAACTTGGGCAAGTCACAATCTCTCAGCCTTAGAGGATGGCAATGGCAATCCCACTATGAAGAAACTTGCCAAGAAAACCCCATGACAGGTTTGCCTTAGGGGTGCCATAAGTCAGGAACAACTGAAGGCACACAGCAACAAACAATATCTCTTGGGCTTAAATGCAAACAAACATAATTAGGCTTGAGCTGCTTTTGGGGTGAAAACATTCTGTTTTGCTTTTGTTTAGGCCAGAATACAACAAACCAGACCAGGGAGACCTGAAGGCCTCCCTGCTGCTGTTGTTGTTGCTGTGTGCCTTGAAGTTGCTTCTGATTTATGGCGACCTTAAGACAAACCTATCACAGGGTTTTTGTGGCTGAGAGTGTGTGACTTGCCCAAGATCACCCAGATGGTTTCCAATGCTGAGTGAGGAACTGAATTCTGGTTTCTGAAGCCATAGTTAGACGCTCAAACCACTACACCACCGCCATGGTCCCCACTACTAAGCTATACTATGTGCCTCACTCATAGAGTCCCCATAAGTCGAGGCCAACTTGAAGACAGTTAACACACACAAGTTAACACATTTGTTGTTGTCATGAGAACAGTGAGCCCTTTTGGGTCCCCTAATAAATTTCATAGAATTGGAAAAGTTACTAAGGAAAGTTAAAGAAAGTGCAAAGGCAAGCTTACTACTCAACATAAAGAAAACAAAAATAACGCCCAGAGGATCTACATAAATTCAACCTTGATAATGAGAAAATTAAAAACAGTTTTCCTGTGTCTGTGTGTTGTGTGCCTTCAAGTCGTTTCCAGCTTATGGCAACTCTAAGGTGAACCTATCAGGGGGTTTTCATGGCAAGATTTGTTCAGAGGAAGTTTGTCATGGCCTTCCTAAGGCAGAGAGAGTGTAACTTGCCCAAGGTCACCCAGCAGGTTTACCTGGCTAAGCTGGGATTCAAACCTGGCCTCCAGTCATAGTCCAACACTCAAACCACTAAACTTTGCTGGCTCTCCAACACCTTTGTGTGTGTGTGTGTGTGTGTGTGTGTGTGTGTGTATATATATATATATGTAGGCAAAAGTAAAGGTATTCCTCATTGACAAGGTTGTCAAGTTGTGTCCCACCATAGGGGGCAGTGCCCATCTACGTTACTAAGCCAAAGAGCCAGCATTGTCAGAGATTACTCTGTGATCTTGGGGACAGCATGACTGCACCAAACACTGTTTACCTTCCCATCAAAGTGGTACCTATTTATCTACTTGCATTTGCATGCTTTTGAACTGTTAGGCTGGCAGAAGCTGGGACTAGTGATGGAAGCTCATCCCATCAAGCGGCACCTGGGCCTTGAACTACCAACCTGCCAATCTTGCAGTCAACAGAGTCAGTGTCTTAACCACTTGAGCCACTGCATCCGCTCTCGCTCTCTCTCTTTATATATAAAAACTCCCCCCGAGGCTGAGAGAGTGTGACTTGCACAAGGTCACCCAGTGGGTTTACATGGCAGTCAAACCACTACAGCACACTGCTCTTGAATGCCTTTACACATATAACTGCCCCTGAGGCTGAGAGAGTGTGAGCTGCCCAATCCTTATTGGGTCCACCAAGCAGCTTTCCCAATGGCCAAGGATGATGGGAAATGCAGTACATTAGTATCTGGAAGGCCAGAGACTCCCCAACCTATAACAGACATCTCTATAGTTTATAAAGGATACTTATTCCCAGGCATAGCTTCACACATTATTCCCACAGAGAGAAAAGGAAGACCCTCCACCTCTCCTTATAAGTAGCAAGGCTCCCAAGGAAGACCTACCCCTTTCTCCCCAAATATATACCCCCTCCTCCGGTTTTGGCTGCCCCCTAAAAAGAAAAACACCGGTTGCCATAGTAACAGCAGCACCCACAGGCTGGGCTCCCGCCGCTTCCCAACCGGCCAATTCAGTCCAGCCCCTTCTGCAGGCTGAGGAAAGAATACGCATGCGCGGAGCACATCAATTCCCCCAGTCAGAGCGCCGGAGTTCTAAGCGCATGCGCAACATGCATTACCTCCCCCAATCAGAGCGCCGGAGTTTTATGCGCATGCGGAACTCGCATTACCTCCCCCAGTCAGAGCGCCGGAGTTCTACGCGCATGAGTGGCTCATATCACCTCTCTCGTCAAAGCGCCGGAGTTCTATACGCATGCGCAGCTCATAAGAGTGCCGGAGCTCTACGCGCATGTGCGTCAAGCTCTTCCCGCCCGCTCTGTTCCTGCACCGACAGCCGTCCGGGTAGAAACAAGGCCTGTCCACGAATGACCCC